TCACATCCCGTAACACATCTCACACGTTGTGTTTTGTCACTTAAATTGACTTTAATTACGATAGAAATTAGTGTTTGTGTTGTTATTCACATTCACAACTGACTTACATATGAATATAACTCTCAGTTGTTTCCTATGGAAATGACACTCAAAATAGAGGTTAACATGGCATCACATATTAATTGAATATAAAACCTGTTTCTGAACGCAAACCCTTATGTAATAGTATTGTCAGATATCATGAGAGAAAGAGATTTCTGTAATAATAGTAACAATAAGAATAATAAACATAGAAATTTCATTCAAATCTTATACTCGTATTTATATCTATTATAACGATAGCAATAAGAAAGTCAAACAAAAAGTGGGCGAAAATTATTAGAGTTTTCGAGAGTATCATAGAAATTGTTTTGTCGAAAACAACATAGTTTTGTCGGTGTCTTATCGATGATATTATTATACTTATAACTTTAGTAGAGATAAAATTGGCTCAAAATCATGTCTCTATAAATAAATGTGAATCTGGAGTTTCCATTGCATTCAAATCCCACACAAATAATTGTTGTGTGCGTTAAGCACAACATATTTAATTAAAATACTGAGAGTTATATTCATATGTAAGTCAGTTGTGAATGTGAATAACAACACAAACACTAATTTCTATCGTAATTAAAGTCAATTTAAGTGACAAAACACAACGTGTGAGATGTGTTACGGGATGTGAATGAGATCTCATATACATATTATAATACATAAGCTCTGCTGTCATAACCATTATATTATGCCTCTGAGGAGACAATTATATGCGAAAAACACTGATTACTATAAATACATTCACGTCTCAAATAGCGTTTAGGAGTTTAATTATAAGCAGTCTTTTGTTATTTGATTTGCCCATCAAATTAGAGGCACACAAAAAATGAGTACAAAAAAGACATCAAATTCTACACAAAAGAATCCATTTTTCACACAATTTTTAATCAAATTCTGTATAACTATTGTCGCGAAACAGTATAATAGGAAATAGTTAACAATCAACGACTACTGCATTTGATTTGGATATTAAGCGGAAATTGATTAATGAGTTTGTGGTACTCACTCCGGGATTATACCCAACATCTCAGCCAACATTGGGTAGTCGTGTGGATGCGACTGTTCATCAGATCTCGACTGCAAATCAATGAAATGCAATAAATCGGAGAAGTCGTCGTCGATTTGAGACAATTCATTGATTTCTAATCTTCTCTTAAAATTGTTATTATTATTATTATTATGGGTCGACCTCTCGCTCTCTATCTCTGAGTATTTGTCTAATAAAACACAAAATATTAAAATTAAAATTTTTTCTCTCATATGAAAACGAGTGGTGAAATTGTTTGACTAAAACAAGACAATTATAAAGCTTTAAATCTGATTAAAATTTCTATTTATTTCTATTTATTATACATTTAACTCATTCTGATATAAAAATTTTGCTTCAAATCTGTCTTTTAAATAGTTATTTGTTTATACAAATGATATTAAAAACACGTCTCAAGACTCACTTTTGGCTGAGAGTTGGGTTGCCTTCGATGGGACACCACTTGGCGGCTGTCCTTCGAGTGTTTTCTGTTGGTTTGGATCCAACTCTTTAGACATTTGTCTGTTTAGGAACCGTCTCTGGAATTGTGAGAGTATTGGAAGTCCTGAGCGCTCCGACAGTTTCGACAGATCTAGACCTCCCAGTGCACGGCTAGTATACACACAAAACAGCAAAACATATGTGAATTTTGACCGAAAAAATGAAACAATAGAGTGGATGAGGGAGTGGTATGGCTGGCCATACCTATAGCTGGTGTCGTCCTGTAGTCGTGCGGTGATGACGAAGAAGACACAGAGTAGACAACACGTGGCGCATATCAATAGCACCAAAATCCGCTCCTTTAGACGCATTTTAGTCGACAATCACTGAGACATGAATAGGGGTCGGAAGCTGTGGCCAAATGAGAGTTGGTCTGCAAAACACATTTTGTGGTGACTATTACTTCTCGTAACTATTCATTGGTATCTGATTTCCGTTTTAAATTAGCGCTGAGTTAAGCCATAAGATATCGTCCTATGATATGCGAGAGATTGCCGTTTGAATAGAATTTGTGATGAAATAAAAACTTTGATCACTCTTATGACAGCAATATTTGATTCACTATTTTTTGTAATAATATCACAAACACAGCATAAAAATCAATATACAGTAGACTTTAAATTCTTGCGATAAATCGGTGTATAAAATGAGAAAAAATGAGAAAAAATGAGAAAAAATGAGAAAAAATGAGAAAAAGAAACTTTTTTCGCGTCAAAAGTAGAATATATTCGTCAAACGAAAGCAAAAGATAAAACACAATATATTTTAATATAACTCTTAAAATATATTTATTATGTATTTATTTTTTATATAACTTCTATATACAAAAGAAAATATTATAAATTATTATTAATATTATTTTTTCACGTTTGGTATACAACGAGAGTAAGAAAAAACTGAATTTTTCTGTTGAGATCCAAAAGACAATACAATTTCACAATAACTGGAAGAAGGAGTGAATAAACACAAGAGTGGAGTCAAAGTCATCATCACTTGTGTCCCAATTTTTATGCATTAATGTTAATGAACTGTATATTCGGTGTCCAAGGCATGTGTTCAATGAAAACATTTTATGAATCAAACATCAAATTGATTTAAGGATTACTTTAACTTTTTTTCTCTCATTACTATCTGTTTTCATTGCAAACTAATACAACACTTATGCTATTGTGAGAGAGAATGAGCGCTGAGTTTGGCTCTTGAAATGCGAAAGCATTATATATTAGATAAGATTTTCAGGTGAGAGAGAGAGAGAGAGAGAGAGAGAGAGAGAGAGAATAAGAGGAGAGAATAACTCTCTTGTTATCTCTCCAATTGTGGGCTCACTTCAGTCAACAGTAAACTTATATCGAGATCTCGGAGTCGATGCCGAGAGAGAGCAAAGAGAGGCCAGACTTTGAGCTCATCTATTCTCTCCCACACTCTCCCCCTCACTGTAGGCCTACTATTCTGTCGACAATCTCTTTCAGTCGACAACTATTCAGTCGACTATTCTTTAGTCTACGGATTCTGTGTTATGAAAAGCGCTCAATGAATGGCACACTGTATACAACATAGAGAGCATCGGTAGGCAATGCGCCGGTAGTTTTGTACGAGACGCTCACTTTTGCCAATGCACTGGCAGTTTAGGCACAGCTTATGTGTCGCTTCTCAATACTATGTGTTATATAATATAATGTGTTTGCGAGACACCACTGGAGTTGTCGGAGTATTGCGATCATTATGTGTTACACCGACTGATGGATATTTTGCTGCCAATTCTCTAATGCCTTCAAACATATCAAACATTTAATGATTGAAACGTTTCAATAATAGTAGACTTTTGCACCAAAAAACATTAACACATACTTCTCTCTCGTAGACAATTACTATTTAGTCACTCATATTAAACTCAGACTTCAAATATTTGTTTCATAATTTCAGATATACTTTGAGTCTCGTAATAACGAGTAATGAATTATATTATGAGTTATGCACTCTTATTATATTAAAAACTTAAACCTATGGTTTACTTATTCAACGTGTGGTCACGTTTAGCGTAGGATTCTCTCTCTCTCTCTCTCTCTCTCTCTCTCTCTCTCTCTCATCAATGTTTTGATAAACAAATATTTAAATATTCATATTATTATACATATGCTTAACAAATAACAAATAAGATTCTCATCAATTGAATGGAATATAATAACGATAACATTATGTGATTTTATTTGATTCAATCAGTAGTGTGCAGTTAATCCACTTTAATCTCATTGAATAATCTCAAAGTTAAATAAGACTGAAATCATTTTCAAATACAGTGAATGGAAAATGCATTCAATACAATACAGATACAAATACGTGGATGACTTAATGACTTAACTGCATAAATAATGCAAAACTGAATACATTATGCATTTGTACGGAATATTATTCATAATTAAGGCATATCTCATAGAAAAATAAATAAACTCTAATAGACTTTCATGAACACAAATATAAATATTAGTGAATAAAAGTGCCTTATTTTTGAGAAAAGTATTCAAACATTAATATCAGACATAAAGAGATTGAAATGTGTTTTCGTATCGAAATTATTCTACACATACAGTACAGTCAGTATATTTGCACAAATTTTATTAAAAAGCAAAAATATTTACTATTTGTTGTATACTATACGAGCCTAAAGTAACTTAAGTTTATACTGGTATTTGTGGTGCAGATGTGAACAGTTATCAGTTGAGCATTACTTGTAGTGTTGTATACCATTAGCAGCAAAATCGGCATCAGATATAGACTCTCTTAAGCAACGGTAACCAAAAACTACAATAATGTCTAACAGTAAAGTGCCGTAACTTTAATATACACTATTTTATTGACAAAGTGCTCGACACCGGGGCCTCCAGTGCACAGTTACTCCAGTATTGATAGATAGCTAGAGAGAGAGAGAGAGAGAGAGAGAGAACATTTTATGGATACTGTAGTCGAAAGTCGAAAGCCATAGAGAATACCATACATACAAGCACTGGTAGGTGAGATAGGTTTCCATTGGATACACAATTGATCTCTTTTTTAAAAAAAACTTCTTATTTCATGTGTGCATAACATAGCGTTTCGTTGCAAACACTTGTGACTTAGCTTTTACTTTTGGATTTTGAGGACCACTTCTTTCTAATCGATTGATTTTCGCTTCAATTTATTTCTCTCACTATATTTTTAATGCCTTTTTCACAACTTATTTATTATTGCTTATCGAAAGAAATTAGTTATTTATTTATTTCCGTTACCATTCACTATATTTTTTCGGTGTTTGTTTGTGTGTCCACACAATTATTTATGATAATCGACAGTATTATACACAAACACGGCATAAACAATTTGTTTGTATAGCGAATGGTTATTAGTTTTCATTTGAAAAACTCAAAAATTTAGTTCAAAGGTTTAAAGTCATCATTCAAATTGAAGTGAATGTTACGTAACGTTGTAAAGAGTAAATGAGTTTAGAGTTAAATAAAATACATGTCTTTAAAAGTTTTAAACAGATATTCATATGAATAACACGAACATAGTTTTTGGACTTTAAAATGGTTTTCAGACAATTTGAGAAAATGTGATAAATTTCAATAAAAGACTGAAACTAAAACCAATGACAAAATTACATTAATTGCAAATAGTAATGCATTATATCTACCGTAAGAAATAATAGAGACATTGCATGCAAAATGCAAAAGCAAAATATATTCATAAATATCAATTAATTATAAATAGATATCTATATTATTATAGCTATAAATATAATATCATTTACATTAAATTAATTGTATTTTATTTCATACGATTCTCATAATAAGATATTGATATTATATTTTATATTTACATAAAAAGATATCTATTTTCTTACAAAATTCAAGATAAAATAAATTGGTTTTAATTTAAATAAAAAAGTCAATATTCGTTTGGCTATGAAATGAAAGACTATACGATATTTGAAGTGAAAAACTATATCTTCGTCTCATTTATAAGAGATGTCTTTTGAACTCTTCAGTGATAGGGAAGGGATTGAGACTAAGAATTGGATACTTAATTAAAATCAATAATATTGCACACTATTGGTATATACATGCACATTTTTTGGTTGCATTTTATATAACGAAATATGAAATAAAATAAAGTATAAATAAACTATAAAATATACTAAAATGTACACACCTTAACAGTGATACTAAAAATGTTAATAACTATTAATAGTAAAGTATTTAAGAGTCTAGAAATAATTTTAATCAATAATTTTTGAGAAACTATTAATAGTTAGAATTAAACACTCATAAAATAAAAACAAAATTCAAAACAATGGGTTATTTAACAACAATAATAATACGAATATTATTATTACCGCACCACAAAAAAATGTTAAATAAAAAATAATTAAAAAGTTACTTTTAGTATTGATTGATAAAAATTGAAATATTAATTAAAAGGTAATCAATAATATTCATAGATTAACATACAGTGCGATATAATACGGGGAGAGATGTCTAACCCCTGTGCCAGCCCTGAGCCGAGCGCCACAAATAAGTTGTATATATATTTGTATAATAGTTGTATAATAAGTTGTATAACCGTTATAAGCACTACAGAAATGTATAATCGATTACAATATCAGTATATTTATAATAAATGAATCAAATCTCAACAGATATTACTGTTATAACGCATACGAATGGATATGAAATCCTTTTTGAAAAAAATATGTCAAAGAATCACATGAATGGTATGTAATGACAAATGGTTTGTAATCATAAAATTATATATCCTTTTAGTAAATTTGAATTCTTCTAGATATTACACATTATTTTTTTAATTTAATAATAAATTTATATAATCTTACAATAATTTTAAGCAAAAATAATAAGAGAAAATAATTGTTTTTCAAATAAAAACCACTTTATATATATATATATATATACGAGTGTTAAGTGCAATAAATGTTGAGTTAAATTATATTTTTTGAGACCAAATCAGTGTATAGTTTGATAAGACGTCTCTCAGCCCTACCTCTATATGTCCTTAATCTTCATTTTCAAGTCAAACGCATTATTAACACAACATTTTCAGTCAATAAAGCACTGGTAGCTCAGTATTGCACACAAACTAACGGAAAGTGAATTAAATTTCATTGAATGCCGGGATTCTTATATATAGACATTATACTAACTAAACACTATTGATGTAAGAGATTGAGAAGTATATAAGTTTGTGTCTTTCTATTACACTAACCGCCCCCATCCCTGTCCACACACACACAATGACAGAGAGATAATTGTGATTAAATCAATGAGTGCTCAAAACTATAGCTGTTTTGTATGACTACTTTCCATGCGATTCGTGAATTGCATTGAATTAAGAGTTAATATAAGAGACACAGAATTACACGAATTAAGTGACACTTGCATTGAGTGACACATTATTTTCAATACAAATATATATATATATTTGGATCGATATGTGATTGCACTCAATAACCCCCGCTATATGTCATCCGGAAGTCATTTACTTATTACTGATTAATACATTAACTTTTTTTAATTAATTTCGTTATTTATTTAAATTAGAAATACAGTTAAAC